AGTGCCCCTGCCACTTGTCCTGTACTGTACCCTTTTAGTTAGCCTGGGAAATGGATATCCAGGAGGTTTTTCCTTTGTTTTCCAGACACTGTGGTGGCTGTGAATGGAATTTGGATTCTTGTTGAAACCTTCATGCTGCAAGGTAGGAAACATCACAGCTTTTTTCCTTGTGGTGCTGGAGGATTGAGAAAAGGGAAGCTTTTAAAAAGCTGTTCCTGTGTCTTGCAGGAGGGAATTTCTTCTCCAGGAACGTCCCGTGGAGCTACATAGTCTTCCTCACGAGTAAGCTGGTGCCTCCCTACAGAGCTGTGTCATTTCCTGAGGAGATGGGGAGGGAATTGAAKTTGGAACTTAGCCATGGGTGTAGAGCCTTCACCCAGAACAATGCTGTGCCTGGCAGGGATCGTTTTGTAGAGTTTTCTGGAGAGAAATCTCCATGAACACAGGAAAATGTGTTTATTCGGAGGGGAAAAGTCTCTTTGGCACCTCACTGAGAATAAGGAGGGTGGGTGGGGTCTGTCAAACCCCTGTTCAGAAATCCTGTACTAAAAACACCAYACATCCATGAGGGCAAACTTCACAGGAGCCTTTCCTGTGGCTCTGCTCATTCCTGATTCTCCTTGTTCTGCAGTTTATGGCGTGGAGCTGCTCCTGAAGACCACGGGGCTGGGGCCTGTGGAATACCTGTCCTCAGGCTGGAATCTGTAAGTGTTTTGTGTTTTGAGGTAGGGGAAAAACCCCAAAAGCTCTCATGTTTTTGGGTGGAAGCAGCAGCTTCTGAGCTGAATTGTAGAGAAGGCCACAAGCCATCCAATTCTTCTGCCCCTGGCTTCATGCATCTCATTAGGCTGGAGCATCACTGAMCCCTCTTCTCTGCTGAAACACTGCTGATAAATCATTGCTTTTGTTTGATTTGATTTGATTTTTCTTTCCAGCTTTGACTTCTCAGTCACCCTGTTTGCGTTTTTGGGGCTGATGGCCCTGGCGTTTAACATGGAGCCCTTCTACTTCATCGTGGTCCTGCGGCCCCTCCAGCTGCTGAGGTGAGGTGGGAAAGGCTGGGAATGGAGAATTCCAGAGAGCAGGTGGGGGAAAACAGCTCATTTTCCATCAATCCCACTGGGGACCGAGCTCCTTAGCAGGAGAGGGCAGGGATTGCTCTGTGGGAATGTGACCGTGGTGAGCAGGAATCGCGTGGGGTAATGGGATTAGCCTGAGTTATCGAAACAAGCAATAACAAAAACTTGGGATGGGATATGAAAACCCYGTGCTTTGGAGCTTAAGCTGATCTCTAATAGAGATCAAGGGATTTACTGGGGGCAGATTATCCTGTGTGTGCCTTCGTGGGGTTCTTACACCTCCAAGAAATTGTYGCTGCTCGCAGAAAAGCCTTTCCGTCAGGGCGAGATGGGCTGAGCCAGTTTGATCATTTCCATTGAATTACCCGAAATTACAGTTTTCAAAGGAAATGCTGCTTTCTAGGGTGAAGCAGTGCCCTGCTCTAACTGCATCTCACACTTTGAGCAGGACCATGGCCTGTAACCTCTCTGCAGCTCAGGGGGCTGGGATTATTAACYCTCTCCTGTTTAGGTACCCTCACCTTCCCCAACGCCTCCAGAGCCACGGGGGGAAGGGATTTGAGRCAAAATGTTTTGTTAAAAACAAGCTAATGTAATTTAGCTCTTCAGTGAGGATTTTAAGAACACTTCATGACACTCAAGAGGGGAAAAAAAATAATGTTTTCTCTGTTCCTCCCTTGCCAAAGCCTGTTTGGCAGCTGTGTTTCTCTGTAAARGCTGACGGAGTTGCCAAATCTTAAATTAGCAGGCACAGTGTAGTTTTCTTTCATCAATTTTTATTGGGTCATGGGGGAAACACAGRAAAGCTTGTGTCTGAGGGAAGGAGGAACAAATCCTGACCCTGTGCACAGGATCAGCGCAAGTTCTTAGGATTTTTATTTTTTTAAATAGCTGTTTCTGCATCATGCTGTGTAAAAAGGTGACCTTTTTTTCCTCAAGATCTTAAATCCTGTCATAAACATTCAGATGGGACAGCAGGACTTTGTTAGGGTGAGCAGAGACCAYTTGAGCAAGAGCAGTTTGGTGTCAGGAAACCTCCCTGTGGTTGACCTGGGATGTAGAGAGGGCTGGGGTTCTCCTTTTAACTCTTTCTCCCAGCCCCGGGAAGGCTGCAGGGTGTGGGTAACTCCTGTCCTCTCCTTCCAGGCTGTTTAAACTGAAGAAACGCTACAGGAACGTCCTGGACACCATGTTTGAGTTGTTCCCTCGGATGGCCAGGTACATTTGTTCTTTGGGTGCTGGCAGACAGAGGGGAGTGAAGGTTTGGGGTCAGAATAGGGTTGTGTCAAACCTGCTAAAGGCATTTATGCTCTGATCTGTCAAAGAAGAATTTCTGATTTTTTCACTGCAGTGGAGTGTTAATGTTCCAGTTTATTGGAGCAGCAACTCTCCAGCCCCCTGAGCTTTTGTGTCAGGAGCATAACTAAGAGTCCCTGCTTGTTTTAATGCTTCTCCCCTGTCCCAGCTCTTGCTGAGAGGGGAAGCCCACGTGGGAGGARCATTTAAAGCAGGAATACCCTCAGCCCCAGCTGGTTCCCTGTCCCCATCAGAGCCATTTGATGGCATTATTGTGATGTGGTGGGGGCAGAGGCAGCCCTGGTGCTCGAGTGGGACACCCTCAGCCCCAGTTCCCCTGCAGGAGCCCCGGGCAGAGCGAGCTGAGCCCTGCTCCTGGCACAGCCCCTGCTCCYGAGGACACGGAGAGGGCACAAACAGAGGGTGGTGTTCTCTATTGAAGGAGCTGTGCAGAGATGTTTATTTAACACAAAGGGACAGGCTGGGAGGGAATCCAGGCTGCTCTTTGGGCTCTCTCCTCAGCAAGTGGCCAAMTCCTTGTCCAAGGGCTCCCTGGACTCCCTCCTCTCTGAGCAAGCCAAGAGCTGCAGAGCCACCACAGCAGGGAGGGTGTTCTGGGGTTCTCTGCTGCTTCCCAGCCTTTGGGAATTCCTCCAGAGCAGCCAGCCTGGGATTTTGTATTCCCCTGCCTTAGCAGCTCCTCAGCAGCACAGTGCTCTTTCTGTTTTTGCCTCCAGCCTGGGTTTAACCCTGCTGATCTTCTACTATTGCTTTGCCATCGTTGGCATGGAGTTCTTCGCTGGCGTGGTCTACCCCAACTGCTGCAAGTGAGTACCTGGAATCCAGCCCCCCTGCACGGTGCTTTTGGTGCTCAGCCAGCAGCAGGGAGCTCTGGCAGCTCTGTTTCCCTGTGGAGAAGTGGCCAGAGGATGGGGCTGAATGGGGTTTTGTAGCTAAGGCAACAAGWGGCAAAAATCCAGGAAATACTTAATACTCCTGCTCCATCCCTGGAAGTGTGCAAGGCCTGGTTGGACAGGGCTTGGAGCACCCTGGGAYAGTGSAAGGTGTCCCTGCCCRTGGCAGGGGGTGGGATTGGATAATCTCYAAGGGCCCTTCCTACCCAAACCATTCTGTTTCTATAATGCCAGAGTTGCTTCTCCAGGGGTATTAGGTCTTTAGCCCTCCCTTTGTACCAACATAAATTCACCCACTCCTGGAATCTAAGCTGTGCTGTGCCCTTTGCACCTGAAATGATGGCAGACCACTTGGAAATGCCAAGCTGTGAGGGTGTGAGCTCAGACTCTCATTTGCTGAATAATTAGAAAGATGTGCTCCCTGGGCTTGTGCTGAGCTGTGGAGGAGAGAGGATTCCTTCCAGAGGAAAAGGCGAGTGTTGGCCAAGAGGCAGAAACTGCCACCCTTCTCACCGCCTTCTGGGGGGTTGATATTTATAACTCTTTAGATTTTCCTTGCTTTTCCAGTCTCTGCTGATTCTCTGGTCTCTCCAACCAGCACAAGCACCGTCGCTGATTCCTACCGCTGGGTGAACCACACGGTTGGCAACAGAACAGTTGTGGAAGAAGGTTATTACTATCTCAACAACTTCGACAACATCCTCAACAGCTTCGGTAAGGGCACTTCTGTCCCTGCGAGGATAATCCCGTGTTCCTGCAGAGCTGGATGGCTCTGCARTGCTGGAATGCTCCTGTGAGCCTGGGACTCACTCTGCTAATGCAGCTCACTCAGCATCCTGCTCTCTGTCTGGAGAGCTCCAGCTGGCTGATTGTGCCAGAATTGCTTTGTGAGGTGAGCAGAGGCCTCTCGAAGCCAGCTGGAAGGCAGCAGATCTGCTCTGGCTGCTGGTGAGACCAGAGGTGTTTAAGGAGGGCAGTTAAGTCACTGCCCTTCTAAAGAGCCAACAGCGGTGCCTCTCGTTGTACACTCTGATGAAGAATAATTGGAATGTTTGATTGCTCTCCGTGATTTTTCTTAATGTGAGAGCAGAATGTTTATCTCCTGGAGATTGCAGAGGTCTCCATGCTCTCTGGTGGAGAGTCAGGTCTGTTTTCTGTAAAAAGCAGAGATGAAGCCTTGCTGCAGGTTCTGTGGGTCTGACCCCCTTTGTCTGAAGTTAATACAATGGGGAGGGTCTGCATTCTCTCTGCATTTTCTGTCTTTGTTCAGACTTCGCTGTCATGAGTCAGTCCTCCCTGTCAAATACTTTATCTGAAAATCACTGTGACATAGATCAGGATGGACAAAGCAATTATTCATGTGTGTTTTCTCCCTTTTCTGTGCAGTGACATTGTTTGAGCTGACGGTGGTCAATGACTGGTACATCATCATGGTGAGTGAGCCCCTGCAGGCAGCACAGACAGCTCAGCCTCATCCTCCACAGCAGCACTGCTTTCTCCCCATGGTGACTAGAGTGGGCTCAGCACTGTCACTTGTTCCCTGATATCCTTTGGTCCTGATTGTTGTAGGGTGTTTGGCCCCTGCCATGCTGCCGGACACGTTTTCAGACAAATGAAATCACCCTGGGCCCCAGTTTGTCACCCTGCTGTCCATGCTGTGTTCTCATGGCTCTGGCAGCCACAAGCTTTGAAGGTTCTATGTGTTTGCCTGTGGGAACCTCTCTTTTTAGCTGCAAGGACCAGCTGGGGGCTTGAGCATTGCACAAGCAGTCCCTGGGGCAGCTGTGGAGCCAGGAATGAGAGACAGAGCGTTTGTGCTGCTTTTGAGCAGTTAGCAGTGCCTCTCCCTTCTTTTGTGCACTCCTAACTTCTTCCTTCTCCTCTTTAGGAAGGGGTGACATCCCAAACCACTCACTGGAGCCGCCTGTACTTCATGATCTTCTACATTGTCACCATGGTGGTGATGACAATCATCGTGGCTTTCATCCTGGATGCTTTTGTCTTCCGCATGAATTACACTCGGAAGAACCAGGATTCAGAAGGTCAGAGCTGGGGCTGCCTCATCTCTGTGTCTCCTCTCCCTGGTGCTTTATGTCTGTAGGAGRCAATGGCATTGGCCAGGAAAAAACAGATTTATTTTTATAGCCTGGCATCCTGAGCTAATTCTTTTGCTGTTGTRTGATACTTCTGTCTGGTCTTTGTGTTCTGTCCCTCATTTCTCTCCCGGAATTCCACCAAAAGTGTGTGTGGGTGTGTTTATGTGGGTTTTATATACAGACTTCAAYTACTTGAGCCATTTCAACCCAATTCTTTGAAAACAGGAAGTCGTGGTGCATTTCATGARAGATTTCTAGGAAACATTGCAGCAATGATGTAGCAAAGCTCAATGAGAGATCTCACAGGAAGTGAAGATGAATAAATTGTTTGAAACCAGCATCACTAATATACTCACTGGTGGCAGAATGTATCTCCAAGGGGCTTTTCCAGCATTCAGGCACCAAAACACTGATCTGGTGGTTTGCCAGCACTTTTTGTCGTGAYCTGGAGGACAACAGACASTGCCTGTCCAGTTCTCTCCACGTTTTCTGGTTGTACTTAGGCTGCTGGCTCTGTGSTGGTTTTGGACCTGCCTTTGCCTTTAGGAAATGGCCGTGAGTGGGCTGTGCATCCCTTCATCCCTCTGAATCATCACTCACTGTCCTTTGTCCCCTGAGCTGGGGGTCTGGAGCTGCAGGTACCKCCCTGACCTGCCAATTCAGGTGCCAAAGCCACACTGATCTCTTACAGCCTTGCTCCTGTTATTTTTTTTTTAGGTGCCAGAAAGTCATATTTGTGTGGCTTATGACTGTAGGAGCCAGGAGTTGTTAATTAGGGAAACCCTTGTGATCATTCCTGCGCCCGGTTTGAAGGGAGCAGTGAAGGACATCGGTTGACCCTGGACTCCCAAGCTCAGTCAGGCAGGTGAAGCTCAAAAGGTACCAATTCTGTGTGATTATTAATTAATTTACAAGCAAGCAAAAAACAAAATTTTTTTTTAAATACTGAGGAGCCTGATGTTTTAAAAAGTTAAGAGAATAGTYTGGACAGAAAATTTGCTGGCCATAGGCACTGGGTAACTTTTCTCCTTGTTGGGGGTCAAGGATATCCATGTTGGAGTCACAAAAGCAGGTACAGGCTGTACCCAACCTCTGGTTTGGCCCCGTGTGCTTTAGGCTTTGCCTTCCGTGGTTATTTTAGCAGCTGATGAAGCAGTTCTCATCTTGGACACTTATTTTTTCCCTTCTTTCTGTTGCTGCAGAAGATAATGGCATTGTGCTGGAGAAGGAGATCTCCAAGGAGGAGGTGATTGGCATAATTGAGCTGTACAAGAGGACTTCAGCTGCCACTGAAACAGCCCAGCTGCAGAAGATCGTGCTGCAGATGGACAAATATGGGGTAAGAGGAATCACTGCAGGTTCTCRCCTTCAGGAGAGGGAGGTGGGCCAGGACCCCTTTGGCTGAAGAGAGAAAATCCTCCTGCCTTTGTGGTGTTCAGGGCTGAGCTGCTGGAGGGGACTCTGCAGCATCACAAAGTTTTGCTGCTCTGGAAAAGCAGCAGCTGCTCCTTGAGTAGCCTTGACMAAGTTTGTTCCCTGCAAACTTCCTTTAGAGCTGTCCTGGATTGGTGCTGACCACAAAAAAAAAGCACATTTATTTTTCTCTGAGGAAGCCACTTTCTGGTAATTCTGCTGCCTCTCCCTCTGTGCCATCCCACTCTGGGGATAGGACTGTCCTGGAGCATTAAGCAGCAAYGTGATGGCATCGATTGCAGCTCCTTCCTTTCTCTCGTGGCACTGCTTATGCTTCCATTCTAAACCATTCTAAACTGGGAAAGTGAGCTCTTGGCTCAGAACTGTTGGCTYATGCATCTGGGAAGAGCTTGAGTGGTTGTTTCAATAATGATATCCCTGTGTCACCATGACACAGGGCAGGTGCTGCGGGGACACCAGGAGGAGCCTGGGATGGCCTGAGCTCCTCAGTGGATCATGGGTGACCTCAGAAAGCATACCTGAAGCTCCAGAACAGCTCCAGCTGCTCACTGACTGATGGATGTCTCTTTTTTGGTGTTTTCTTCTCCTTCTCTCAACTCTGTAGCAAATGTCAGCAGTGTTTCTGGGACGCAGATCGAGGACCAAGAGTGACTTGAGCATGAAGATGTATGAAGAGGAGATACAGGTATGTGACCTGAGCTGGGGGTGCCACCAGGTCTGTGGGGAGGACATTCCCTGGAA